ATAACTCAAATAACTTTCAGTAGAACTCATCCCGCCACTAAAGCCCAACAGCCAATTTGTGAAACCGCTGTTAAGTTCACTAGATCCAGATTAAATTTGGATCTGCACCAAAACTGCACACACTGATAATTACCAGTCCTCTTAACATGTCTGATTTTCATCAGGACCCATGAATAGAAATCAAGGAAATAGTTGAGTTGACCTCAGATTTGACAGAAATCCTGGATTTCCCCTCAGATCTATGTAACAGGTTCTTCATTAGGTCATGTCTCTCAAATTAATGGACAGTTGTTGAGGAGTTGTTGTGTAATCCTGCAAACACACAAATGCAGATGAAAACCACCTCTTGGTGGAGCTAATATACATTTTGTGCAACAGCGCAAAATTCATATTTTACTAATATTGAGTAAAATGCTGTTTATTGTATGTCGTGTAGTTCTGTATTCAGAGACAGTATTTGGTTTTATTTTGTACATGCCCCCATTACTTTGATTTCTGTTTTAAGTGACATGACTGTTTGCAATTTAAATCCAAAACCACATTTCTCTGAAAACATGATTTGGTTTTGATTATTACCACAGACCCCTGCTGGATGAACTGAGGGTTTGTTGTCAGGGAATTGCTTGTAGTATTTCTTTTACAGGATAGTTTGATAATTTTCATTTGACTTGTAAAAGTGCTGTAACTTCCTTTGTGTTCAATATAACATATATATCTATACTGAATATTCTGTGCAAAGGTTAAAAGTGCAGGTTGTAATAATACTAGAGAAAGGATGAAGAAGGAACATTTGCTTTTATTTTCTGCATTTATTTTAATTCTTTTCGCTCCAATGACTTTAATTTAATTTTCAACTGACGGGACAGTTTTTTTCTCCTGGAACTGAAGAGGCACAGCCCACAGCCTCTAAAACACACAATGAAAGTGCAGCAATTTAAATCCATCACCCTGAAAACCACTTTTCTGAATGTGTGTGTGTTTTTTTTAACTCAGCCAGCAGCATTAGGATAGGACCTGCTCCATTACTGATGTCACCATATTTTATAATAGTGTTGTTACAGTAGCAGCCACTTCCTATAGCGGCTCACAATGCGTCCTGGAGGGGGACCTGGTGATATATCTTCCTGCTGGGCCTTTAGCCTGAATTACAGCAGGAAAAACAAAAGGTTAATCACATTGGGAGACTCCGCTCTGCCTCTGACCACCCAGCTTCTCTCTGTGCCTCCCTCAGTATTTCAATTCAAGCTGCTTTATTGGCATGAACGTTGGATGCACAGAGGGCGAAGCACCTTCCAAAGCACCTAGAGAAACAAAACACCTCTCTGGCCCCTTTCTGTCTTCTTCTTTTTTACATTTCTCGCTTTCCCAGTTTCTGTCACCCTCAATTTACGTCTACGAGGACAATGTGCGTCGCAATCAGCATACGTCGAATCAAAATGTAAATGTATCATAAGCCAGGACGCTGGAAATGCATTCGCTCATCGGAGAATCACGTACCAGAGCCGTCGTCTTGTCAATGACTAAAATCCTCTCATCCCCAACCCCCTTCTCTTCATTTCCCAGCATGCTTAAACGCCGGCGGGTGCATTACATTGAGATTCAAGAGGTTATCTCACTGTGGTGATGGGGATTGCAAAAGCCTAAAGGATCGCCACAGGTTACAGCTTCGTTTTTTTTTTTTCTTTCCCCGGCTCCTTGTATGGCTGCGCTTTAATGAGCACAACTCCTTTTCTCCCCTGGTCTGAAAAATAACACCTCGCTGCCTCGGAGAGCAGATTCTGAGGACGGCTTTTGAGAAGCTTCTGACTGTGTTTGTGTGTTTCTTTTTGTTTAACAGGGTGGTGGGCCCCGCGGTGACCTTCAGAGTGAGCCCGAACGCTCAGAACGTCAGCACCACAGATGTGGCCAACGTGGCTGGTAGGTTCTCCTTGGCTGAGTAATGTTGTCTTTATACTGACAGTGAAAAAGTCGGGCCATTATCATCGGCGTGCTGCTGCACCTGAGGCCCCAGATGAACATTTTTCAAAACTCATGACTCCTCAGAGAAAGTCTGTGTTTTTTTTCTCTTGTCTCCACGAATTCAACCATATCTTTGCTGGAACTTCATGACAACCGTCTCTATTCCTTTGTGTTTGGTTTAGTTTGGTATCGGTCCCAAAGGCTGTTTGACTCCAACCCCCCCCAGTAATACTCCCACCGTGTTTGGTAAAAATCCATTCATGCCTTGCTGCCTTGCTGCCTTGCTTCCTTGCTTCCATGCTTCCTAGCTTCCTACCGCACTGGTTAAAATGATGCCCTATTTTTTTAAATTGCACAACTTGCCACTATCACAGCAGTCGAATTAGCTAATATGCTAATGTCCCGCATAGCCAACCGTGGCTTTAATCCAGACTTGTGACGGACGATGCTCCAGATTCAGCCGACGTTGCTGTTTTGCATCGTGTTCTGTGTATTCTCTTGTATTCTGCCCTGAACATCAAGCTTTGTTCCGGATCCATCTCACATTTTCTGCGCTAGGACACAACCGAATGTGCTCAAACTGTCTGATCTCATTTTAAGTTACATTCACTGATTGGAGAAGAGAAAACAGGAATAATTACGCGGCAGAACTTTCATAGAGGATTCTGTTTCAGTGGCAGATCACACTTGGTGTTTGTTAGTAGTTAACCCAGATTGAGCAACGTTCATCACAAGCGTCTTGTTTAACTTCAATTTGTTTGGTTTAATCTCGTTTCATTGTTTTCCTCCAGAGAAACATATCCAATAAAAAAACGGTGCCGTTCTTATCATGGTCAAATGAAAACACCACATGGAAGCAACACTTCGGTATCAATAGAGAAGTATAGTATCTCTATATCCAGGGGGGGGGGGCAACAATCTCACTATGGTGGTGCAACAAAAAGATTGTGAAAGATTTAATATGATGCTTTAATATTGTGGTTTCAGAAACTTGAGCCACCGTTCTGAGATGCAGGAGCATGTGGACACACTATCAGTGTTTCTCATCACTGTTTGTTCGGTGTGCTGCTGCGTTACCGACTCTACAAAACTAAACCATGTTCAGATAAATGAAGGATAGACGCTCTGTCACTCTGCTCACACTCCCGCTGGTCATCTGGAGAAGTGACATCCACTGATGATCTGCACGTGAACCTGCTCTTTGTCAGATGGTCTGAGATTTTTGTCCGCCATCTTTTTTTTTTTACTTCATCTGGGATCATGTGAAGTCGCCCTCTAATGGCTGACTGCAGCATAGCTCGTAATCCCTGCCTCCTCCATGTTAGTGGATGGATGTTCAAGTGTACATGTTTCCGATTTGGTTTGGTTTAAATTAGTTATTTGATGAAATAACAACAGGCTGAAACTGACTCTAGACTGGTCGAGAGCTTGTATCAGTGGGACCTGGAATAATGCGGCTCCATCCCCCCGACCGCTGCGCGCAGACTCTGGCTCCGAATGACGTCAAATGCCCAAAATGGCCGCGCCTGTATTTGGAATATTTTCTCTATTTATGTACAAAGGAAGGAAGTGGAGACGTATCATCCGTGGCTGTACGCAGTCTATGGTCCCGCTTGTTCTGTCAAATGAAAAGATGTAATGTGTGTGTGTGTGTGTGTGTGTGTGTGTGTGTGTGTGTGTGTGTGTGTGTGTGTGTGTGTGTGTGTGTGTGTGTGTGTGTGTG